CTCTCTCTCTCTCTCTCTCTCTCTCTCGCTCTCTCTCTCTTTCTCTCTCTCGCTCTCTCCCGCTCTCTCTCTCTCTCTCTCTCTTTCTCTTTCTCTTTCTCTTTCTCTTTCTCTTTCTCTCTTTCTCTCTCTCTCTCTCTCTCTCTCTCTTTCTCTCTCTCTCTCTCTCTCTCTCTCTCTCTCTCTCTCTCTCTCTCTCTCTCTCTCTCTCTCTCTCTCTCTCTCTCTCTCTCTCTCTCTCTCTCTCTCTCTCTCTCTCTCTCTCCTCTCTGCTCTCTTCGCTACTGGCTTCTGACGGAGTCTGGGTTAGGTGAGCCTGAGCGTGGGTGAGTCTGAGTATGGATACGTCTGTGTGTGCCTGACTCTGAAGAAATGAATCTGAGTGTGAGTGAGCTTGTGTATGAGTGAGTCTGGGTGCGAGTCTGAATCCCAATGGTGCCCCTGGCAGTGTCTGGCGACTAGGAGGCCCGGGTCGACTCCTCTTTGGGAAGCCAAAATGCTGCCCCTGGCAGCGTTTGGTGACTATGAAGCCCCTGGTGGACCCCCCCTGGGGCTCCCAAATGATGCCCCTGGCAGCGTTTTGTGACCATGAGGCTCTCAAGAGATACATGTTGGGGACGCCAAACGGCAATTCTAGCTGAGGCGTCCCACCAAAATCGGCGCGAACGGGCTCGTGAGATCAGCCAGGGTGGCTCCCCCTTGGGGCTCCCAAATGATGCCCCTGGCAGCGTTTTGTGACCATGAGGCTCTCAAGAGATACATGTTGGGGAGGCCAAACGGCAATTCTAGCTGAGGCGTCCCACCAAAATCGGCGCGAACGGGCTCGTGAGATCAGCCAGGGTGGCTCCCCCTTGGGGCTCCCAAATGATGCCCCTGGCAGCGTTTTGTGACCATGAGGCTCTCAAGAGATACATGTTGGGGGCGCCAAACGGCAATTCTAGCTGAGACGTCCCACCAAAATCGGCGCGAACGGGCTCGTGAGATCAGCCAGGGTGGCTCCCCCTTGGGGCTCCCAAATGATGCCCCTGGCAGCGTTTTGTGACCATGAGGCTCTCAAGAGATACATGTTGGGGGGCCAAACGGCAATTCTAGCTGAGGCGTCCCACCAAAATCGGCGCGAACGGGCTCGTGAGATCAGCCAGGGTGGCTCCCCCTTGGGGCTCCCAAATGATGCCCCTGGCAGCGTTTTGTGACCATGAGGCTCTCAAGAGAGACATGTTGGGGAGGCCAAACGGCAATTCTAGCTGAGACGTCCCACCAAAATCGGCGCGAACGGGCTCGTGAGATCAGCCAGGGTGGCTCCCCCTTGGGGCTCCCAAATGATGCCCCTGGCAGCGTTTTGTGACCATGAGGCTCTCAAGAGATACATGTTGGGGAGGCCAAACGGCAATTCTAGCTGAGACGTCCCACCAAAATCGGCGCGAACGGGCTCGTGAGATCAGCCAGGGTGGCTCCCCCTTGGGGCTCCCAAATGATGCCCCTGGCAGCGTTTTGTGATCATGAGAGAGTGTGAGTGTGAGTGAATGTGACTGTGAGTGAGTCTGAGTGAGAGTGAGTCTCATCTTATCTTATCGAGTCCTATCTTATCTTACCTTTATTACCCTCTATCTTATCTTATCTTGAAATCTCTTATCTTGTCTTAGCTTATCTTATATCAACTCATCTTATCGCATCATATCTTGTCTTATCTTATTACTCCATAGGCTGTCTTATCTTATATATTATCCTACCTTGTCATATATCTTATCTTACCTTATCATATATTGTGCTATCTTATCTTATCTTGTAGTATATTATCTTGTCTTGTCTTATCTGGTGATTATCATTGGGAGGAGGGAGGCGCGAGCGGGAGGAAGGAGGAGAAGTGGGAGGCGTCAGAGTAATAACAAGAACCCCAATCCTTAGGATATGGGGAAAAATCTGACGAACTGCACACGCCCGCGTCGTCGCGCGCATGCAGAAATCCGTCAAAAACACAAGCTTTGGGGGGGGACAAAAACGATAATCACGAACACATACTATATATATATATATAAAAAAACACGGTTTCGCAACAAATGTTTTCAAACAAAAACTGCGCCCGCGCTCTTGCGAACTCTAGAAAAACCGTGAGTGTTTCGACAGTTCCAGAAAATTCCCTGAGTGTGCTCTGCCCAGAGTGTGCTCTGCCCAGAGTGTGCTCTGCCCAGAGTTCCTGGAAGAATGCAGCCCTGGCGACGAGGGCTCTCCAGGATGAGCAGCGGTATCGGTCCTTTCCTGGAGATCCGTCGTAGCGAAAAAATGTAACATCGCGAAAAATCAGAGCCGGAGCCCCAAACAGCATTTTCCTGCACCATTCTTCGGGCCAGATCGATCTGTGAGGGTCTCGGGGCCCGAAACGAAAATCAAAATCCCCGGCTCGAAAAAATGAAGACGCCAGGATCTCGGGGTCCCCCTGCCTGACATCTACTCCAGCCCAATTTGGAAAGCATGGATGTCCCGGAGCATTCGCTCGACCTCCGCGATCTCCACCAGCACGCCGCGGAAGTCTTGCGCGCGCCGCAGGTACAGCAGCCGCAGGAGCTGCGAGGCGGCGGGCCAGGCCTCCTCGGCGTCCTCGCGCTGCGCCAGCGCCCGCAGGTAGAGCAGCAGCGCCAGCTGCTCCAGCCGTTTCTTTTCCTCGAGGTGGGAAAAAACATGTTCGCGTGGCGAAAATAGCACGGTGGAAGGTTGTGGGCAGCTTTCGGCCTCTAGGGACCCTCGTCAGGCCCCGGGGCCGTCGAAAACGACTCGGGATGGAAAACCAACTCTGGGGAAAGGGTCGAGACTGCCGGGGACCACGTACGGAGAAAATAAAACATCGCATGTCTGGGACGGCATAGACATGTCTTGTCGGAGTTCCGCGCGGAATTCTTGGATCGGCGTTGGAGGAACATGCGGGGGCCACTGGCTGGATTCGCATGTGGAAGATCACCGCACCTGGCCACACGAGGGCCGAGCACTGGAAAGGCATGCGGTCACGTGTGCATCCAGGCTGGCCGCGTCATGTGTATCCAGCCTCCCTCTACGTTTGTGCCGTGTTTTTTCTTCGAGTCTCCTCAATCACCGACACCACATCGTCCCCCAGGGCCCTGCAGCCGGCAATCTCCCGCGCGACGCACGCCCACGGCAGCTCCAGCCCGTCGTCCAGATCGTGGAGCAGCAGCGCCGCGACGGTGCGGGCGTCTGCGCCCAGGTTAACCAGCGTCCTCTCGCCACGACCGATGTTTTGAGGGCGCGACGACCATCTGGCCGATCGCCTCGTCACTCTGCCCACCGCGGGCTCAAGGAATGGAGCGTGGAGCGACACGACTTAAACCCCAGAAGGTATCGGCGCCGACGGGAGGAGGTCGAGGATGAGCAGGAGGAGAAGGAGGAGGAAAAGGAGGAAAAGCAGGAGGAGCAGGAGGAGGACGAGGGGGAGACGACGTACACGGTGGGGTCTGTCTGTGCAACTCGGGTCCCCGCAGGGTGGCGCTAGGAACTTTTTCAAGCCCCTCCACCACTTTCGCCACCTGCGAAGCCCGCAGCAGCAACAGAGCAGGCAAGATTGCAGCTGAGTGCCCAGCGCTCGGGAGACCTCACAACGCGCTGAGAACAAAAAATGGTGCCGGCCGAACAGAAGCGGGAAACCGAACCGCAAGGCTGAGCAAGCAGAAGGAATGCACCAGAGAAAACATAGTTATTTTGTATGAGGAGCGCGGGAGAACGGAGAGGGGTACAGCCGTTCAGACGCTCCCCGAGAGCGTCGGTGCTGGCCGCGGCGGCAGCGGTGGTCCACGGAGCTACTTCGGCTCCAGCACCACCGCCACTGGCCGAAGCACCTGAATTCGCCACGCTCCACAGATCAGCACCTGTGCCAGGCCGGGAGGGGGCGAGGCCCAAGCCGAGGACGGCATCGGCGGGCGGCGAACCACGGTTAGCGCTCAAGGGCGACAACGGCAGCCGCCCTGATGTCACTAGCAGATTCTAACGTCATGGGACTGTGCTGCGCAAAATCATTACACATGTGATACATGTGGAAAGCAAGCGATGTGGCCTGGAATTCTGTGCGAGGGAGCTCCGGCCCCACCCGCCCGCAGTCCGCCCCCTGACCGAGCCCCATCCAGATGATCGGGTACGCTGGGAAGTGTCGTCTGCGCCACTCTGAACACGGCCACATAATAGCATAAGCGCGTGCAGCGCACGTAATACGCCATCTGATCAGGCGCCTGACACCCCCACACGCATTTTGCCGAAGGCGTGCCTAGATGAAGCCTGCATGTCGTCGTCCAAACTCATGCTAGCGGCTAGCGTCACTACACTCCACTGCCAGGCGGGCTTCAGCGATTCCAGGCACTCTTCGCATTCCCCCCACGCGTCCCCCACCGCCTCCTGACCCCCAGAAATCACGATGCGCCATGAACTGAACCGCGCAGAGGGCGAACGTGTCTGGAAAGGAAAATGAGCGCAAGGTCATGGCAAACATTCGCCGCGGACGCGGCCTCTTGCCCTCTGAAAGCGCGAGCCTCGCGAGGTCGCGCGCTGCACGAAACGCGCTTCTCCACCCCCGGGCACTCCTGCGGCGCGGGGGCGGGGGGCGAGCGCGCTCGAGAAATTCGGGGATGGCGCAGGGGCGCCGCCCGCACAGAGCAGAATTTCATGCCTGTTCAAAGCAAACGACGGCAGCACACTGCGCAAATTCTCGACGCATGCGACACGCAGGCTGCCAAATCTGGCTCATCGCTCCGAGCGAGGCGCCAAGCGATGGCCCACGCTGAAAAATTAAACAAGCGCGGGAGCGATGGAAAGGAGAGACGGAAAGGCATTCAGATCAGCGAAGCGAAGGCGGTTGGGCGGCAGCCGCAGCTGCCTGCGAAAGGCCCGCTGCTCGAGCCCCCGAATCATCGCTCGGACATGTAAAAACTAGGCGAGGTAGGAAAGAGTAAAAAGAGACGCGGAGCTGTAGAGTGCCGACAGCGCACTCGGGGCAACTCCTGCGCGCGGTAGCGCAATTGTCCGCGACCGCCACTTCTCCGCCGCAGCCCCCCAGATAACTTCCCGGGTGGCGTCGAGGCCCGTCTCGACTCCCAAGTAGGCGGCGCGCCCCACGATCTAATGATCGGCCAAGTGGGGCATCCATCAACTGAGGTCCGCTCGGATGAGCTGCGCAGCGTCAGCCGCGCCTTCGGTCCGAAGAGGAATCGCAACGCACTTCAGCGCCTGGAATTGTAAATGGACGCGTTCCTCAATATCCTGAGACGCACGAGAGACGTCCACTATGTCCTCAAGGCAAGGCGCCATCACCCCGCGACGCCCGCACACCCCCGCGAGAAACCCCCGCGGCGCGTCGCTCGCGGGGGCTGGGCGACCCCGCGCAAAAACCCGGGAACCGGGCCCGCAGCAAGCGCCCAAAGTGAACCAGCGAGTGGACATCCCTGGAGCACGCCTGAACACATATCGAATCGGAAGACCACTTGGTTTTGAATCCAATCGAAACCACGCGGCAAAAAGCAAAGCGCCCGAATAGACCTGAGGCGTCAGGGAAGGGGGTCGAACCCATTCAGAGACGCGACGAGCCACCGACGGCCCATGCCCGGGAAGGCCGCCACAACGTCAGATGTAGCAAGAAGAAGGTTATCATCCTCAACGCCTGGGTCGACGCTAGCCCGCCTGGTCGCCGCGTCGAGGTCGATAATGCTAGCTCGAAGACATATATTCGGAAAGAAACCTCGGCGCGCCTCGCGCGCACTACCCTGCGCAAGCTGCCGAAGCTGGAGATTCGCAGCGCAAGCTCATATTTTGGCGCCCGCGTCGCTGCGCGAGAAGGAGCTGAACTCGGCGGAAAGTCGCGCGCAACCACGGGTGTCTTCCGGCTCCGACCCCTCGGGGAGGAAAGCGATCGGGCTGCCGCCGAGCTCGAATGGAACTGCATGCCCAGCAAATGAATGGCACAAGGGGCGATGAAGCATCGCGATTTGCCAAGGAAGGGCATTCCAAGCCGAGTAGCTTAGTTGACCGGGGCCAGGGGCAGAATGTCCAGCGGGTCTAAGCGCGCCCCGACGGTCAGCCTGAAAAGGAAGCCGAAGACGAAGGGGGTCTTGCCGCAGGGCAACTCGATCAAGGGAGTCCTTCAACGCATGGCCGTCGACGTCCCAGCTCCAAATATCGGCTTCCAGCGGGCTCTGAGGGCAGCAGCAATGGCCCCTGGCTCCACGGCCACGGCGGGGCCCCCTCGAAGGCCCCCAGGACGAACCCCAGCGAGAAGGAGCCCACTAGCCATGGGGGCCAGAGGTGGCCACGGCACTTGCAAGCACGAGCGGCGCCTCTCATCGTCGGCTGCAACCCTCTGCCCCTGATGAATCAATTCGGTAGCCTTGCTCTCCGCCGCCCTGGCCTCACGCCGCAGGAACTCATAGTTCGGGGCGCGCACGGCGCGGGCGAAGGCCCGCTTTTCCAGGAGCAGGACGGAAACATCCTCCGCCATCGACGGCGGCGATGGGCTTCTCCGTCGCGACGATGTCGTCGCGCCAGCCACGCCTGGAGATCACTCTCATGGGGCCCTTGGAGGAGATGGGTGGCCATTGCATCTCATCGCGCCCTTGTCGGGCAGCCTCCATCATCAGTTGTTTCATTTATTGATGCGCACTTGTTGACAGGATGGAAACGTTGGAGGTCAGCAGCTTCCGAAAGGTGACTGCGAAGCTCTGTGCACCGAAGAGCGCGCGCAATCGCCCCTGGAATGCTAGTCTGCGATTCAGGGCGGGCACGGCCTCTGAGTTCAATTGCGATCGGTGCGCAGTCACTGAGTCCCCGGTATGAAATCGCAGCCGCATCAATGTCCGCCCCAACCAGGTAACCAACTCTGAGCAAGTAGTGCGAAGCAAGTCCAGTGAAAGCCCTGTCCAAAATTGCCGCGGTGGAAGTATATCTGCAGTAGCGAGCGGGGCAATCAGAAGCAATCTCAGCAGCGGCGGCGAAGAGCTTCTCCCAGAATCGTCGCAACGGTTGACCGTGAACATCATGGACAGGTCTAGGTCTCACCACAAACTCTTCCGCGGTTGGATCGACGCCACTCCGACTTGCACGACGAGAGGGGCCACCAAAATACCGGCGCATCAGCGCCTCCCACTTCTCCTGAATCCTCGGCCGAATGACTAGACGGTTAGAGACGCGCGCGCATGATGGCGAGCGGAAAAAAACACCGACCATATCGTGGATTTGCAACACGGACAGTCTGCCAGGGCAAACACTGGTCGGCGCCGTTGCATGCTGGTCACGGATACGATTCCAATGTCGACGCTGGCCGCGGCGGCGGCACTGGCCCGCGGAGCTACGCCGGCCTCCGCGCCACCGCCACTGGTTGAAGCACTTGAATTCGCCACGCCATCACCACCTTGTAGTTCTCTAGGCCCACCAGCACTGCGCGAGAGAGCGTTGAAGAAGACCTTGTAGGGGTGGTGGTACGTCATAGTCTCGAGTATATCTTGATTACCACGGTATTCTAGCACCAACATCGATGCTCCGCCACGCATGTATGAAGCGAGATCATGTCATGTGGCCCTCCCCTTGCATGGTTTGCAGCGTAGGGGAGTGCCCGCGTTCCAACTTAGAATCGCGCCAGTATTGTGTTTCAGCCCTGAAGTCCAGGGCGACCACCTTCTGTTCAATAGACCACGTAGATGTATCCTCGCTGGCGAATGCCTGATTCAACGCATCCACCAATGGTTCTTTATCCACTTTGAGCCTAGCGGTCACTGCAGCAATCCAGCGAAGACGGGACGGCTCTTCAGCTCCTTGCACTTCGACCACAACATCTGGTACCGTGTCGACGGTTCTGAGGCCTGTTGATTGTTGCGCACCACCGTGGTGCACATAACGCTTGTCTTGGATGGTAGTATGAAGTCGTTCCGTGTGGAGCTAAAGGCGCACTTGCTTAGGGCTCTTGTCGACATTGACGTATACAGTCGGAGCGTTGACCTAAGGAACCCTAGATAAGGAACAAGGCCCCCTTTTTCCCATAAGTTAAACTTCGATTTTCCATCGAAAACCTAAGGAAAACCTGAGGCAAGCTGTGAAACACTTAAGGAACGCGGAGCCCCTCCCCAACGAAAAGGGTTTCTTCTTCAGGGCCCCGACTGTATTGGGTTTCGAGTACCTGCGGGATCGATTCCATGGAATGTCCGAAAGCCAGCAAGGATTCGAAGTGCTCTGGTAAGAGCCATTGTCCGAGCAGTTGCCGCTGGTCCACCAAGCACCTGCATGTGAAACCTGCACTGGGAACCCTCACCACACAACTGAATATACTCAGGAGGCTCCCTAGATGCTTCATTACATTCTCCCAGTGCTTTCGAAACAGCCTGCGGCGCGACTGCTCGCGGCGCTCCAATGCTGAAGACGGTTGGGTCTGGCGCTCGCTCCGATTCTGCCAGTCGTTGGACATCAAATGTTGTGTGGTTGGTTTTGCCATGGCGAAAGTGTTCTCCACTGCACTGAGCTACTGTTGGTCATCCACCACTCGTTGCACACGGTCTTGCAAATCATGAATACTTCGGTCGTGCTGCTCGTGGTGAGCTGCATGATGTCGGCTAGGTGCGGGACGCTCCTGAACCTGGGCGGTGACGGCCTGGTGCTGCTGCTGCTGCATGATGGCACAGTCGGCCGCGCTTGTGAGCTGATCCGTCGCCGCCTGGATCTGCGCCTGGCCAGGCGCTGCCAAGCGGCGCTCAACTCTGGGAGGTCTGCAGGAAGAGAGCCAGCACCAGCAGGGGGTGTTGCATTACCCTCCACAAATCCACGAGAGCAGTTCTGAACAGTACGCCATTATGTGGAACCTTGCGAGGTTGGAAACTCAGCGAAGGCATCCATCTGCGCAACCAAAGTGTCTCGATCCGCTGGTGCTTAGTCAAAATGCTTCGGGGAATGACCTCCAACAGGTCCACCAGTAGCGCCAGCACGTCCACCCAGCGTGTCTGGTCTTCTCGTTCGCTCAGGGTCATGTTGAGATAGCGGGTCTGGGCGACCAGCCGAAAGTCCAGCTCGTTGATGTTCTCGTTATAGCTGTCGCTATCCCCTTCGATGGTGATCTCTGGTCCGTTTTCCTGAGTGGTGATCTCGTTCTTCCCGCTCACGGTCTAGTCGATCATGATGTCTATCTCTCCGAATACGTCTTCTTTCACCACCGCGGTTTTTCATTCATTCCCCACTTAGGCTTGCCTAAGGGGGTCGTACTTGGAAAAAGGTTGGTGCCTCGGGAGGCTACTATGCCCGTTCCTCGAAAATTCCCCGGGTTCCTCGGGTTCCCCTCGTTCCTCGGGTTCCTCGGGTTCCTCGGGTTCCCGGATTCCTCGGGTTCCTCGGGTTCCCCGGGTTCCTCGGGTTCCTCGGGTTCCTCGGGTTCCCCCGGTTCCCCAAGCAATTTCAAGCAATGCCAGGCAATGCCAGGCAATGCCAAGCAATGCCAAGCAATGCCAAGTAATGCCAAGCAATGCCAAGCAATGCCAGGCAATGCCAAGCAATGCCAAGTAATGCCAAGCAATGCCATGCAATGCCAAGCAATGCCAAGTAATGCCAAGCAATGCTAAGCAATGCCAGGCAATGCCAAGCAATGCCAAGCAATGCTAAGCAAAGCCACGCAATGCCAAGCAATGCCAAGCAATGCCAAGCAATGCCAAGCAATGCCAAGCAATGCCGAGAAACGCCAAGCAACGCCAAGCAATGCCAAGCAATGCCAAGCAATGTCAAACACTGCGCCCATGCAATAGGAAGCTTTTCCCTAATTGGGGTCACGCTGGGTTCATGTGCTTCCTCCCTGCGACTGGCGCGTGAAGGCGAAGGACGTCTTCTAGCGGTGTCAGTGGAGCTCGAATCACTCCTCTGTATCTCCATACTGTCTTTGTGCAGCTGCCGCTCCGATGACTGCTGCCAACTATTGACTCGAATCCGCACCCAGCACTTGAATGATTGGTAGTGCACGCACGTAGTTGTCTGACGTCCGCACCGCCTTAATGCACTGCAAGAGCGCCGCCAGGAGGCAGCACACAAGGATCCTAGGGATGCCTGCTGAGAGCGGGGAGCGGGAGTTGCAATATCGAGCGCCTGCGGGCGCGCAGGTCTTGGGTATGACAAACTGGCAGATCGGAGGATCGTCTGGAAGCGTACTCCGCTGAGGCAGTGAAATGGACACCATCGTGGCCTTGAGCCAACATGGCTTCAGCCAGAATGGCTACGGAGGAGGGGGGGGAGCGGCAAGAAGGGGGACGAAGACCAACAGCAGCTCTTGCCCATTTGTTGCTTGAACACAGCAACGCATCGCAGCCTGGTCATGCGTCAAATCACACAAGGACAATGTTCCAGAACGACGTTTCGTCAGACAAGCTGGATGGTCTAGTAGCGTGGCTGCCAGCCGTCAGGCGGTTCGGAAGATAACGTCGTATTGAAACAAGGGCTGGAGGAGGAGGCGGAGGAGGACGAGGCGGAGGAGGAGGAGGAGGAGGAGGAGACGGAGGAGGAGGAGAAAGCGAGGCCAGGGGGACTGATACTGGCGCAAGCAATTCTTCTTCATTTTGAGCAGGTCGCTGCTGTCCGTGTCGCCGCGGACGGTGCCAAACAGCGGCTGTCGGATTTGGACCACATGTGTTGTTGGGCATTGTACACATTGATTCCGTATCCATTCCCTGAGATCCGACGTGGCGAAAAAAACAACATCGTGAAAGACCACGGCCGGAACCCCGGACCACATCTTCCTGCGCCACTTTCCAGCCGGATCGATCTGTGAGGGCCCTGGGGCCCGGGACCAGGCGAAAACCCTCGGCTCGAAAAAAATGAGATGCCAGGGTCTCAGGGTCGGGTATTGTACTCCTTTTTCCCCGTACCGACTTCGGGCGTGGCAATCCTCAGCACGGCCTCCTTGAAGCGCCAGCGGGCCGGTGGCAGCGCCGTGGCCGCCGCGCGCAGGGCGGTGGCGACCGCCTGCTGGTCCTGGGGGAAGAAAAAGGTACTGATACCGATACTCCCTGGGCCTCTCCCGGGCTGCGTTCAGACCAGGATCCCACCAACCCTCTAGAGCGTGAGTGGTTTAGCGAGTTTCCTCTTCCATCTTCCCTCTTCCCCTTCGGGGAGGGGTTTGTCTATTACTAAACACCCCCTACCCCAGCCGACCGACAACCAACCAGGACCAATGACACACCCCCCTCACCCTTGTAGCAAATCTTGGGTCATAATTGTGGGCCCCGCGAGCACTTTGTATTGTTTTATTGACAGGGGCCGCGGGGGGGCTCATATAGTTGTTGACAAGGATGGCGGGGATGCTGGCATATTGCCTGCTGTGCGCAGGCCCAGCAGACACAGTGATGGTGTTCCCGTCGCGATAGTGCAGTGGCATTCGGCAAGGATGGTGGGGGCCGACATGTTTCCCGATGTGTGCTGTCACCTGCGCGGGCGCACCTGGCACACTCTGCGAGTGCCCCGACCGTGGCGCACCTGGCGCGGCTGGACCATGCGGCACACATGGCGCACTTGGAGAGGCGTGCCTGGCACGCTTGGGCCTCAGGAATGCCTGGCGCGCCTGGCACGCCCGGCACGCCTGGCGCAACTCGCCCCAGCGTCGCGCGCATGGGGTCTGTGTTGGCTTCCAATAGCTGCCCATCCATAGACGACCGCTGGACATGATGAGGCTCGGGTGTGACTTATGTGTTGGGAGGGCGGGTGTAAGTGAGCGAGACAACTTGCGGGCGGGGAGGGTGTCTTGACCCCTCCCCCTACCCCCTACCCCTGGACCTGGAGGGGGGGGTTTCGCGACGGGTTGGAGCGTCCAACATGGCCTCTGCGAGAAGGCCTAAATCATTGATGTTATTCAGGTTTTGGCCACAGGTTGGCCTCCGTGGGGAGGGGGGACCCTCATTGAAGAGCTCCCCATCCTTTGATCGATCGCTTCCGAGATGGCCCCAAGATGGCCCTCGAGGCGCCCAAGGGTGCCCCAAGACGGCCCCAAGAGGTGCCCAGGAGGCCCCAAGAGGCCCCCACGATGACCCCAAGATGCCCCAAGAGGCTCCCAAGAGACCCCCAAGAGGTCCCCCAGAGGCATCCAATACGCCCCCCAAGGCCTCGGAGAGAAGGCCGACATCATTAATATTACAAGATTTGGGCCACGGCCTGGCTTCCTACTGAGGGGACCCTAAGTAAGGAGCCCCCTACTTTGATCGATATTTTCCAAGATGGCACCAAGATGGCCCCCGAGGCTCCGAAGAGTGCCCCAAGAGGGCCCCAAGAGGTGCCCAGGAGGCGCCAAGAGGCACCCAAGAGGCCCCCAAGAGACCCCCAAGAGACCCGCAAGAGGCCCCAATAGGCCCACCAGAGCCACCCAAGACGCCTCGGCGAGAAGGCCAGAATCAATGATTGTACAAGATGTTGGCCACAGGTTGGCTTCCAAGGGGGGGTCCTTAGTAAGGAGCCCCCGTGCTTTTTCGATCGATCTCTGCAAATATGACACCAAGAAGGCCCCCGAGGCTCCAAAGGGTGCCCCAAGAGGGACACAAGAGGTGCCCAGGAGGCCCCTAAGAGGCTCCCAAGAAACCCCCAAGAGGCTCCAAGAGGCCCCCTAGAGGCACCCAAAACGCCTCAAGAGGGCCCCAGGACTGCCAAGGGACCCCTAGGACGCAGAAACTTTCGAAAGAAATCCGAAAAACTCCCCAGAGGCACCCAAGCGGCCTCTGGCGTTTCTGCTCGAACTCCTCCTCCTCCTCCTCCTCCTCCTCCTCCTCCTCCTCCTCCTCCTCCTCCTGCTGCTCCTCCTCCTCCTCCTCCTCCTCCTCCTCCTCCTCCTCCTCCTGCTCCTCCTCCTTGTTCGCCTCCTCCTCCTCCTCATCCTGCTCCTCCGATTCTCCAGCTTACCCCTCTTAGGGCATGACATCACACCCAGCCATTTATGCCACTGCATTGTCCTCCACATCTCTGGTCAGCACAACTCGTCTGGGCGTCGTTTCTGGATGGGCTTGTGGGCTTGACGCGAGGCGTCTAGAACCTCAACCAGAACCCAGCCATGGCAGCAAGGCATCTCCAGAAAGAGCCGCAGCATCGGCACCTCTTCTCACCTCTGGGGTCCTCCCTGCACTTGAAGCAGGCCAGCAGCAGCTGCAGCGCCGCCATCGCGCGGCCCGGCATCCGGCACTCGGGCGAGCTGGCCTCGCGCAGAGCGGCCCGCACCTCGGCCAAGGCCTGGGGCTCCCCGGCATCCCCGCCGCCGGCTGCAGCCATGCGTGGAGGAAGAGAAAACTGCACGGGCATAAATGTTCGGAGCTCCGCGCGAACCTCTCGGGCCGGCGTTGGACCCTCTCCCTGGCGCTCGGAGCGCGATCATGTGCATTATGTGCGAGAGATGATTGTAAGACAGGTTCCGCCCCATTGTAGCGCCTACTAATGTTTATAAATATCGCTATCAGCGCCTACTAGCGCCCATAGCGCCTGTTAGCGCCTAGTAGCGCCCAGCGGCGCCTACTAACCACAACTAACAAGCAGCAATAACCAGGGAAGACAGCAAGCCATGTTCAAAACGTAAGCGACTCTCACGCACGACACACATAACCAGGAGAGCCCAGCGCTGATCCAACACGTCCGCGCGGAGCTCCGAAAGTTTATGTTTGCGCCGTTGCTTCTTCTTCGACATGCCCCGCGCGCGCTGCCGGATCCGGACGTCCCACGCGCTCACGCTGGGCGGCGCGTCGGGGCTCGCGGCGGAGGCGTCGCCCTCCCCCTCTGGCAAGCTGCCAGACTCGCCGGGCAGCGTCGCCTGCTCGCTGGGCAGCTGGCCGCGGGCCGCCACCAGGTTCCTGGACGGCCTGAAGAGCCTGGGGAGAGGAAAAGAGCCCGAGTTCGGATGACTTGAGGTAACGCCCGTGACCAGCCGAGAGGAATGTTGCTGGAGGGTCGAGGAGCTTCGATCGGACAGTACCCCTCGCCCGATGTTCGCTCCGGGAGACAAGCAAAGCAGCGTGACGGAGAAGCCATCGACCAAGTGGTCCAAGGGAAAAAAAAATCCTGGCGAAGAACCCAACCATATGCAATTGTGGGTACCGCAGTTGTGAGCCCCGCCTTCGGTGGAGCTCCCTGTGGGGCCACGAAACGCGTGAGGGTTGCGCCGAAATGGGTGCTATGGCGCCATGCGAACCCTGCCAGTGGGGCCTTCGGTGGAGCTCCCCATGAAACCACGAAACATGTGAGGGGTGTGCTGAAATGGGGCGGGGCCGCCATGCGAACTTTGCCACTCGGGCCTTCGGTGGAGCTCCCCATAGGAGGGGCGTGCGGAAATGGGGCCGGGCCGCCATGCGAGTTTTCCGATTGGGGCCACGAAACGTGTGAGGGGTGTGCCGAATTGGTGGGCACGCGGAGAAAAGAGGCACGACGCTGACGATGGCGATGTTGATGACGCCGATGATGGCGATGGTGCCCACGATGATGGTGATGGTGGTGGTGATGATGATGATGATGATGACGACGATGACGATGATGATGGTGAGAGGGGGCGGGAGTGGGCAGCGGGAGGAGGGGCCAGACGCGGGGCGCTGTCTCTTCAAAACGAGGACCCAACACCACAGGATGGTTGGGAACAAAATCTGCAAGTCTCGTTTCCTCAACTGGTAGATTAGGTCAACGTCTCGAAAAATCTGCATCAAAACAGCAGCAAAGAGCAGGCTGCCGAAAAGAAGAAACGGAAGGAAGGAAGAGACGACACGACAAATCGAGGAGTAAAACTCCACAGTCTGCACTGGAATCCAAATTTCCTTATTCGCGCCAAGAAACCTCGGACTGTGATCTGGAAGCTACTTTGCCTTGAGAAACCTTGCGGGTGTAGGAGGCCGTTTCATATTTTATCTAGGATAATCTGGGTTTTCTGGTGGGGCGGGGGCGGGGCACGGCCGATAACCTGACCTTCTCGCCTCGGGCAGTCCCACGTATGCCCGCGAGCACCCGTACTGTGTACCCCACTCGGACCTGCGCGGCCGACAAGGTCAAGTTATCCAGGGGCGGGCGGGCCGGATAACCCGGGTAATCGCCGGACCCTGAAAAAACAAAGGCCGCAGTACGCGCGGCCCTACCATCAGGACGAGGATCAAATCGGGGGAGGATAAATCGGGAATCTCTGAGATTTGGTGGCTCTGGACAATGTCTTGTGCGCCGCGGTCTTCTCAGAGAATTCGATAACGCTCTGAGAGCGTTCTGGAACGCTCTGGAACGTATCTATCCTCGTCCTAGCCCCGCCCGATGTGCCCATCCTGAACCCTGCAGCAGTGTATACACCACGCTCGCCTGGCTCGACTGGGAGGGCGTATACACAGCTCCAGGGTTCAGGATGGGCCTGGCCAGGGAGCAGTAGATATGTAGTGGATATGTGCAGTCATCGTGCTACCATGAGGAACTCCGAACGAGGAACGCAGGGGCTTCTCTGCCATCGGCGAGCCTCGGCCACGAACAGGTTCCCCTACCTAGATCTGAGGAGCGAGCCGACACCCCGAGCCCCTCCGGAGCCCGAGGTAGCCCTTCCTTCAGCGTCCCAGCTGCATAGACTCCGTCGCCCGACGCTTGTCTTCCTCGGAGAGCCACTGGAGCACGCCGATGATGCCGTAGCGGGTGCGCCGGTCCTGCCGCTGCCGCTCGGGCGGCACCCCGAGGGCGCGCAGGACCGCGCCGCGCGCCCGCTCGCCAGGGGACGGCTCGGGGTTCGGCGCCTCCGACGGGAGACGTCAGAGGAACGGAGGCCTCGACAACCCGAGCGCTGGCGCGCTCGCGCCACGGGGCAGCCCTCGCTTCGAGGGTTGCTGAAGGTACCCCTGCGCCCCTGGGGCCCGTCTCGCCGAGAGCGTTCCGAGGGTGCCCGGATCGTCCCAAACAACCAATGCAGGCCCGAGCCATGATCCGAGAACCAAGCGGCCAGAATCACTGGGGGGGGCCGGCTCAAGGGGGGAAAGTCCGACCAAGAATCTGCGATACATCGCCGACAGATCGACGCCATGCCTTCGACGGCGGATTCCGCACAATCCTGAGCGGGGTGGGCTCTCGGGCCCCTGCTGACGGTGCATGCCCCCCTGAGCCGATCCCCCGGTCAAGTTGCCCCTGGGCCTCGGGGGCGGACAGTCGGATGACCAGCCCGACGAGGAACATCATCAGGATGCCAACCACGAGCGCGAGGGAGAACAGGAAGAGGTCGGCGAGGTCCGAGTTCGCCCGGCCAGCCGCCTGGCAGCCCCGAGATGGATCCAATCGCGTATTCGGATCGTGTCGGGAACGGATCGGATCGCCGGCGAAGCGCCCCGAATCGAATCGAAATCGGACCGCTGCGCCCAGCTCTGGCCGGCCCCAGCCGGTGCCGGTACATCGGACCAGGTCGAGCCGAATCGGAACCACGGCCCCGGCCAGCTCAACGCATCGCACCGACTCGGATCGCAGGCGGCCCTGGCCCCCCGCCATGCGGCGCTGTGAATTCTTCCATGCGGGATCCCTGGAAGTCTCGACCCTTGCCCGAGGGCCAATGTTTCATCCCGAGTCGTTTTTGTTCACGGTCCCGGGGCCCAGCGAGGGCCCCGGGGGGCCGACGGCTGCTGAAAAAGCCTAGCGCCGTGTTTTGTACGCAGCGCGAGCACGTCTGGGCCTGGCTCATCGTTTGCGTCGAGGCGTAGAAGCTCTCCTCCGCCCGCTCGGCCCGGGACTCCGCCAGCTGCAGGCGGTCGTCGAGCTGCTCCATCAGGGGGCGCCACCTGGAGCTCGGCTCGGCCTCGGAGGGCAGGAACGAGCGCAGCTCCTGCAAGCCCTGCGAGATCGGCGTCTTTCCTCGGGCGCAGGAGGACATGCTGGTGCTGTGCGCCCCTCTTGGAGTCGCACGTCCGAGCCAAGCTCACAGGAGAGAGCTTTTTGTTGAGGCTCTGACAAATGTGGTTGCATGGCAGGCCCCACCCCCCTCCGCCGCCATTGCAAACAGCGCCAGGTCGGGTCGGAAAGGCCTGCAAGCAAGTCCTGACTTGCTTGAAATCCAAACTTCCTTTCGGGCCTCGCCAGGCCCCCCCCCCTCCATGCAAGTAAACTTGCCAGAACCTGAAGAAAATCTGCCTCTGGCACAGAAACAGTATCGTATATCATCACCCAGGCAGCATGGCCAGAGAACGCAGGCCAACCAGCACATACTATATACTGTAAGAACTCTGAGCCGGGGGGGGGGGCGACACACACACACACACATAGTATGAGTAGATTTGGGTGGCGCCGCCGATGTCCCGTCACGCGCAGCACCACCCTGGCCGTCCGCCGCCGCTGCCGCCGCCCACGGTCGCCCCAGCTACAAGCTGGGGCGCGTGCGCCGGCGGCTAGGGCCGGGGCTGGTGCGGCCAGGGTGCCGGGGAGGGCGATGCCGGTCACGCCCACGGCGGCTACCACGGCCAGGGGCCAAGCCTCCTGCAGGGCTGGTTATTTTTTCTTTCCTGCACCACACCACAAACCAAAAAGAAACGAAACAAACGACAACGTGAGAGATGGCGCCGCCTGCAAGATCGAAACGGAGGGAGTCGGGAAGCAATCATACCGCCAGACCGTTCTCGCTCAGTTCTCCCAGATGAAGCGAAGACGATGACGAGGAGGGAGAAAGGACGGGGAGGGGGGAGGACCGACGGACGAGGAAAGAAGAACGAGAAAACCAGATGGCAACTCATACGAGTTTGCCATCAAAGCGTATCGGGCCGAGGTTGCACAAGGACATTGTGTTGTAACCCCTACCGAAGAACCCAAGCGGCCACTACAAAAAATCCAACACAACATGAGATAAGCTCCTGCTACTGATTCCTGCAGGGCTGAATCTCCGCGACCAGCTGGCATCGCATCGCCGGCCACAGCCCTTGACCGCACGATCTGGCCGACTGCAAGGACCCACAAAAATCTGACGTCTTGATTTACTTGATACTGGGTCCCTGGACGTCCCGAATGTGGAACATCTGGAAGCCACGCGCTGGATGCACGTGCGAAAGCCTTGCGTGCCTGGCCCCAGCAGGGCCGGGCGCAAGAGAGACATCCATACGTGTGTATCCAGCTCTCGTCCAAACCAGCCGCGTCATGTGTATCCAGCGTCCTGGCACCAGTATCTATGAGGAAACTGGAGGCCTCGCGCGGCAACTTGAGACCCAATGTACGTCGGATGCACGTCGGATTTACGTCGGGCTCCCGTCGGATCAGGTCGGATTCGGATTCACGCCGGGCCTACGTCGAAACATCGCCGCGCGAACGCCGCCCAAAACTCTCACGGAGCGGACGTGTGGACTAGATGGTACAACTACCTTGCGCCGCGCGAGGCCTCCGGGATTCTCCCCTGGCATCGCTCCCTTAGGCGTTCTAATAGCAGTAAGAGAAGGCCAGAAGAGGCCCAGGTGGGGGGACAGGGGAGCCAGGGGCCGCCTCCCTGGATCGCCTGGTCTGGCAGCCGCGTCGCCCGATGTCCTCACCATTAATTCGAAAGTGGTGCTCTCGCATCCATGCCGGCGACATGTTGGGTCCAGGCGGCCACGATGCCCAAAAGACAGACACCACGAGGTGCCCATGGCCGTGCCCTCACCCGTTCCACAGCCGACCACCTACTCCTCGACCCGCCTCTTCGATTTTGCTGCTATTAGGGTGCTTTGCTGGAGTCATCCTCGAAGCATTCCCAAAATTGCTCCCCTGACTCCCGCCAGATTCCGCCGACGCGTCTGCCCGCCAGGGCGCTGGCTCTCTCCGCTAGCCTCCGCGGGCCTCTCCCGCCGGGCCTTCCGCGGATGCGAGTAGCTCATAGGCAAGCGAGGCCGAAAAGAATGGGATGACGATATACGTAGACATGTGTTTCTGGGCATTACCGCTGAACCTGCTGTTTGCATAGACTTGCCCAGAACACCAGCGCGGAGTGAATTTGCCGCTGGTCTTGTTCATCCTGAGGGTGCCTGCTAGCCCCGCTACCTCCAGCCTCATCTGCCTAGTTTGCTTCTGGGCGCTCCGGCCCCAGCCCGCTTACGGTCGGAAACTTTGAGATAGCATGTTGCGGCGGCGGCCCTGGCTGTGCCCTGCGAGTGGATAGTGTGTGTTGCTCCGCCCCGCGGGGCGGAGGGCTGGGAAAAGCTCCGAACGTGGACGCCTGGGCAACACGAAGTGGATACCGTGCCGCACCGAGGCGCGGTGGGCCAACACCGGCGGGGCGGCACGCTGTCCCAAAGCTCCTGGCCACAGTCCCCTCGCGTGGACGCTCCTGCGGGCAGCGTCAACCTCCCGCGAACGGCGATCAGGGCGACCCGTCGGCTCGAGTCGAGAGCCACCAGAAGCGTCCTGGCCCGAGCCGGTGACCTTCAGGACGCGCGTCAGCGCCGACGTGCGCCCGTCCACCGAAGCCCTTCGCTGCGTCGCAGACAGCGCAGGGAGAGCCGACACAGACGGCATGCCATCGGTGTAGCAGAGCAGGGTAAGCACACGCTGGGCCAACACGCGTCCCGAGGATCATGGATCAAGATGCTTTCAGCTTTTCGCGCCTTTTCACCCCGCTGAGGCCCTCTGGGCCTCGTGAGGAGTGCTTTGGAGGCCACAGCATGTCGGACCAATCCTAACCGACTGGTATCAATGGCAACCGAAATGGCCACTTCTCAACCGGCCAAAAAACCCAACCTGTACAAATTACAACCAGCCATCTTGGGCCGACAGCCGACATAGGGGTTCCATGTGTACAGAGTTCTAAGACGCTTCAATCATCAAATGGGCGTCTTAAGAATACACATCCATCTTGGGAGTCAACATGAGCGCATTGGTTGGAATTTGTACTGGCTTATTTTTCTGGCATCTGGGAGCTGTGTTGTCTTGCAACAGCAGCTCCCACCAACACGTATCATCTCGAAACAAGAACATACATCTAGACTAACAACATTGATCCACAACGCAATTCCACACACCGACGTTTCATCCTCCTTGTCGTCGTCTGTCCCTTCCGTCCTCTTTCCCTGCATCCTCCCTCCTCCTCCTCCTCCTCCTCTTCCTCCTCCTCCTCATCCTCCAACTCCGCCTCCTCCTCCTCTTTTTCTTCTTCGTCTTCTTATTTTTATGATTCGTATTATTATTAGTGTTATTATCGTGCTTGTTAGTATTATTACTCTTCTCCTTAATCTTCGTATAATTATTCAGATGAGTGTTATTCCTCTTCTTCCTCCTCCTCCTCGTCGTCTTCCTCCTCCTCCTCCTTCTGCTCCTCCTCCTCCTCCTCCTCCTCCTTGTCCTCGTCCTCGTCCTCATCCTCGTCCTCGTCCTCGTCCTCCTCCTTGTCCTCCTCCTCCTCCTTTTCCTCCTCCTCCTCCTCCTCCTCCTCCTCCTCCTCCTCGTCATGGTCCTCGTCCTCCTCCTCCTCCTCGTCCTCCTCCTCATTTTCTTCCTCCTCCTCCTCGCGTTGCATTCCTTATCTTCCTCCTCCTTTACTCATTCCTCCTCATCCTCCTCTTTCTCCTCCCCCTCCTCCTCCTCCTCTGTTGTTCCTCTTGGCCCTCCTCCTTGTTCTCCTCCTCCTCCTCGCCCTCATCACCCTCATCCTCCTCATCGTCATCCTCTTCCTCCTACCCCAAAAGTGGTCCCAGGAGGTCGAGCATGGTTCAAGACAGCCCCCGACAGACCTCCAGGAGGCTTCAAGACACTCTCAAAGTGGCCCAAGATAGCTGAACATGGGCCAAGATAGCCTCCAACAGCCTCTAGCCGACCACGACCAAAAACACCCTCCAAGAAGCCTCAATAAAGCCTCCGATCGTGACTGGACGGGCTGGTGGAGATATGCGAAACGTAGAACGTTTATGTGTTTGTTTGAACATGCATTCGATAAGGGGAGCGGGGAAGATGGCGGCGGCGGAAGGCAAGGCGACTCGTTCGGCCACCCTCTCCCACCCCATGGGTTCGGAGGCTCCCTGGACCCCGAGAGCACGAAACGCTTCCATTGGAAGCGTCGCCCTTGGGGGTTTGGGGAATCCCGCGCCCGCGAGGAAGGAGGCGGGGGCCGAACGATTCGGCGGTGGCGGCGGCGGAGGGCAAGGTGACTCGCTCGGCCACGCTCTCCCTCTCCATGGGTTCGGGAGCTCCCTGGACCCACGTGGGCACGAAACACTTCTCTTGGAAGCGTCGCCTCTGGAGTTTGAAGAATCCCGCGCCCGCAGGAAAGGAGGCAGGGGCCGAACGACTCGGCGGCGGCGGCGGCGGAGGGCAAGGTGACTCGCTCGGACACGCTCTCCCTCCCCATGAGTTCGGGGGCCCACGTAATCCCCGAGGGCGCGAGACGCTTCCATTGGAAGCGTCGCCCTCGGGGGGGTGGGGTATCCCACGCCCGCAAGAAAGGAGGCGAGAACCGAACGATTCGGCGGCGGCGGCGGCGGCGCGGGGCAAAGCGACCCGTTCGCCCCCCCCCTTTTCCCTCCCCATGGGTTCGCGGGCCCACCGACCCCCGAGGGCACGAAACGCTTCAATTGGAAGCGTCGCCCGCAGGGCCCAGAGAACTCCGCGCCCGAGGGAGACGACGCGGGGCCGAACGACTCGGCAGCGGCGGCGGAGGGCAAAGTGAATCGTTCGGCCACCCTCTCCCTCCCCATGGGTTCGGGGGCCCCCCGATACCCCGAGGGCACGAAAGGCTTTCATTGGAAGCGTCGCCCTCGGGGCCGGAAGAACCCCGCGCCCTCAAGGAAGCGGGGGCCGAACAACTCGGCGGCAGCGGCAGGGGGGAAGGTGTCTCGTTCGGCCACCCTCTCCCTCTGCATGGATTCGGGAGCTCCCCGAACCCCCGAAGGCACGAACCCCCAGGAATCCTCAGGAACAGGAGTCCTGAGGAACCCGCAGGAATCCTTCAGGAACCCTTCAAACATTCTTCAGGAATCCTTCAGAAGTCCTTCAGGAGTCGTCAGAAATCCTTTAAGGAACCCACAGGAACCCTGAGAAATCTGCCACGAACTCTGGAACCCTTAAGTAACCCTCAGAACTCCTCAGGAATCGTCAGGAATCCTTCAGGAGTCCTTCAGGAATCCTTCAGGAACCCGAAAGAAATCCTCAGGAATCCTTCACGAATTTTCAGACATCCACACGGGTCCTTCAGACATCCGTCAGGAATCCTGGGAAATCATTCAGGAAACCTCAGGAATCCTCAGAAGTCCTGCAGACATCCTCAGAAATCCTGCAGGAACCCTCAAGGATCCTGGAACCCTCGAGAACCCACCGGAATCCAAAGGAATCCTCAAGAATCTTTAGCAACGCCACAGAATCCCTTCTGATATTCCTTCAGGAAACCGCAGACATCCTTATGGAATCCATAGGAAACCTGAGGAATCTTCCAGGATCCCTGAAAAATCGTTCAGGAATCCTTCAGGCAGCCCCTGGAATCATGAGGCATCTTGAGGAATCTTCAAAAATCCGCAGGAAACCGTCAGGAATCCGTCAGGAATCCTTGAGAAATCCTTCGAGGATCCTCAGAAATCCTTCGAGGATCTTCGAGCG